CCGCATCCAGCGGCTCTGAGCTGGACGCGGGAACCACTCACCGGGAGCCGCTCACAACACAACACGGTGAGCGCGTAGCCGCAACCCAACCCCATAAACGTGCACAGGACCATGCGTGTCTTTGCGTAATTTGTGCACCCAATAAATACACCGCTGCAGGAAAAAGTCCGCGTCTCCCCTCTCCTCTTGAAGTGCGACTAAATTAAAGCCCGGGTACCTAAATTTTCCATTGCATTAAAAGTTCATGTTTGAGCCCAAAAGTAAAATGTTGTGAACAGATTAAACAGATTTAGAGCCAGCAAATGGCTGACAATATGCATTTCAGACTTTTTTGACCAATTCTCATCCCTGTAACAAACAATAGTATTGTCTTTGTCCACCTCCCTCACTCTGAGACATGTTTATTACTCTCTTGTAATGTAGACTATTGCACTTTATTTTTTTGTTGAAACCACAGACATCCTGATCCTCAGTATGCTTCCACATACTGTATAAACCAGGGGTCGGCAACCTTTAGTGCTCCTCCAGTGGCTACTGGAGCCTTTTCAAAAATGTCTGAAAATGGAGTGGGAGGGCTATATTTTATTCCTAGTTTGAATGTGGTTTCTGTAGGAGGAAAAACATTCCTAACGTATTTCAATGCTGTAAAAATATGTATAAGTAATATTCAATTTCAACATTTCTGTCAACGTAGTGCGTCATATCCTGTGGCGCGGCCCCGCGCCAGGCGGCCGCTGCTGAGTCAATAATAAGACTGGACTAAGAACAAGACTGAACATTTGCTTTCAGTCAATGAGGAAGGACTGCTTCATGTTTGCGATGTAATAGGAAGTTTTGTTGCAACACGAGGAACAATGAAGCACTAAATACCGTTCACAGGGATTACGTGAAGGATTCTTTCATACAAAATCCGGAGCACTTTTTTCAGACTTCAAAAACCTCCGCAAAGACTGTGAAAGAAAAGGACATTCAGCTCCAGCAAACTTCAGCCTGTGACGTGATCGATATGAGCGGACAGTGCAGGTGTGTGACCTTTGAGCCAAAAAGCAGATTTATTTACTGTATTTCTACAGTTGCATGAAGGCAAAAAAATGGAAGTCAAAGTTAAAGCAGAGTCATCACGTGGTACGTCATTCTCTCCAGGACACGCTGCAGTGAAAACACATATTTGATAATCATGAATGCTAATCATGTATTTGTAGCCTTTACTTGGTCATTTAGATAATAGGCTAATGTAGCTAATGTAGCTACATTGTGTAACCTTCATATAAGCTTTATACAAGGCTGTTATTTTTTTGCGGCTCCAGACAGATGTTTTTAGTTTTTTGGTCAAATATGGCTCTTTGAACCTTTTGAGTTGCCGATCCCTGGTATAAACAAACTGTAAAAAAGTGACAAAAACATGCCTGGGCCGGTAAGAAGGAAAAAATGCCCGGGCCGTTTTTTTGTCCCAGTCCAGCCCTGGTGACACGTATGTCTTTCCATGTGTGACGTGACAATGACTATATAAACTGTGTACTGCCTTTATTCTGTCTGAGAGAAAGAAACAAAGGAAACCAGTGGAACTTGAGAGAAACTTAAATAAACTTCCAGAGTTTGGCGCACCACGATCCGTCTGTCTGCTGAATCCTGACAAGTTCATCCAGAGTGATCATGGGCCTCTTGGCTGCATCTCTGATCAGTCTTCTCCTTGTTTGAGATGAAAGTTTGGAGGGACGGCCGGGTCTTGGTAGATTTGCAGTGGTCTGATACTCCTTCCATTTCAATATAATTGCTTGCACAGTGCTCCTTGAGATGTTTAAAGCTTGGGAAATCTTTTTGTATCCAAATCTGGCTTTAAACTTCTCCACAACAGTATCTCGGACCTGCCTGGTGTGTTCCTTTGTCTTCATGGTTCTCTCTGCGCTTTAAACAGAACCCTGAGACTATCAAAGAGCAGGTGCATTTATACGGAGACTTGATTACACACAGGTGCCTTCTATTTATCATCATCAGTCATTTAGGACAACATTGGATCATTCAAAGATCCTCACTGAACTTCTGGACTGAGTTTGCTGCACTGAAAGTAAAGGGGCCGAATAATATTGCACGCCCCACTTTTCAGTTTTTTATTTGTTAAAAAAGTTTAAATTATCCAATACATTTCGTTCCACTTCACGATTGTGTCCCACTTGTTGTTGATTCATGACAAAAAATTAAAATTTTATATCTTTATGTTTGAAGCCTGAAATGTTGCAACATGTTGAAAGGTTCAAGGGGGCCGAATACTTTCGCAAGGCACTGTATATATTTCTTGCACTACTAGAGTATGCTTAAAATAGACAGATTTTACAGAGTAGTGCTACACTTAATAGTCATTTATATTGTGTTGTGTGCTACCTATTTTCTGAAACTGATGCAATACTGAAATTTCCTCACTGTGGGACGAATAAAGGATCTCTTAATCTTAATCTCTTAATCTGATCCGCCGTGCAATAACATACTGTGAGGGATGAGAATCCTAATTCTGTCATTAACTTAGTCCTATATTAACTTAAGATTTACTAATGTGCTTTAGCCACATGGTACAACATGAATAATGAAATACAAGGTTTACTGAGATGGAAGAGTATGAACCAAAACCTACAAGCTCGAGCAGGACACTGACTTCAATTAATGAAGTCAGTCCTTGTCGTGCTCTAAATGGCCACAAGAGGTCCCCATTTACCATTGAGTTTCCACACCAACGTTTGCTTAGAAAATATTTATTTGTACACTGTACAAAGGCACTTGATGATTTCAACAGTTATAAAAAACATGTACATCTTTTCATGGGTTCTGAGGACCCTTTTCCTATTCAAAAGATATAATTTGTTTGATTGGTTAATCACTATAGCAACGGTCCTCATTTATCATTCTGAAGCCAATAGATATTACATTCAAATTAAAGTATGAAAAGAATATTCATAACATGATTATGTAAATGATCTCCAGAATAAACACACAACAAATCAGTGTTCTTCTAAAAAATAAAATTAAAATATACATTAATCAAATGAAAAACTTTAGCAGCTCTGTGAACCAGTGAAGAGCAACAATAAGAAGTTATGGGTGCCGTGTCCACAACAGAAAACAATCTTCAGACGCTGGAATGACACTGTTTAGAACAGAGTGAAGTGTATGAGAGGCTGCATTACTTTGTGGCTTCTTTGTGCGTTATGGATTTACAGCCTGCTCATGTTCTCATGTGACAGCGGCTGAGTCTAAGAACAGAAACATGCAGAAGAAATGCCCTTTGGAGAGAGGAGAGGAGCTCCCTTCAACAGTGGGAAACCCTGCTGATACCAGGTCGGGCACAGTTCAGGGACTTTGAAACTACAACAAAGATGGACTGCTATTGATGAAAAGTGCATTTGTAGTTGGTAGGATCAAAAGTATCCAATTTAACATCTCATTGAGTGAATATCTGAATAAGGTGTGGTCACTCACATCGCAGTATTGGACGACAAAAGGTTCATACACACATTGAATAATAACGTGCTTTTATATGTTTGCAATGAATAATTATAAGATTCAGTGACATGACAGCAAAGAGATGGTTTGGCTGTTTCAGGGGTGATCCACCTCCATTCACTTTTGTGTCTGAAAAAGTTGTGTTCGAGTCCCAACATAGTAAGTTTCTTTGTAAGTTTTCTTTGTAATTATGTCAAAGACTCTGAAAAATAGACTGCGGAAGATTAGATGAATTTCAGTAATCTATTATGTAATCTATCATCTATTATTATCTAGTAATCTATTATTCATGTTTGAAAACCAGCTTTAAGGCATGCTTTGAGAATACATCCTTTCCATGTAGTGTCCCAGTCCTGACAGTGGTCCTAATCTGCTCGGTCACAAAACACAGACTGAGAAGGTTACGTCCACTAAAACAGTCCAGGATCAACATTCACAGATCTAATGATTGACAGCTATCACAGGTGCCCGCCCCCTCCTACCCCTTACGCCAGGTGTCTCCAACCTTTTTCACCCAGAGAACTACTTTCCTCAAAAAGGCAGCGAGCTACTCCCTTAGGCGGCCCTGGGAAAAATGTGGTGATATATTGGTGTGAACAATGTCGAGTACAGTCATTATTTATCATTGCATATTTGTTACTAATGCACAATGTGCATTTACAATGATAAATAATGATCATGAATAATACAATCTGAAATATCAAGTATATTATTGGATTTGTTCATTTGCAAATCCTTTGGCGAGCTACCTGGAAGGGGGTGGGGAGCGACTTGGAAGGGGGTGGTGAGCTACCTGGAAGGGATGGTGAGTTATCTGGAAGGAGGTGGCGGCTACCTGGAAGGAGGTGGCGGCTACCTGGAAGGAGGTGGCGAGCTACCTGGAAGGAGGTGGCGATCTACCTGGAAGGAGGTGGCGATCTACCTGGAAGGAGGTGGCGATCTACCTGGAAGGAGGTGGCGAGCTACCTGGAAAGAGAAGGCGAGCTACCTGGACGGAGGTGGTGAGCTACCTGGAAGGAGGAGGCGAGCTACCTGGAAGGAGGTGACAAGCTACCTGGAAGGAGGTGGCGAGCTACCTGGAAGGAGGTGGCGAGCTACCTGGAAGGAGGTGGCGATCTACCTGGAAGGAGGTGGCGATCTACCTGGAAGGAGGTGGCGATCTACCTGGAAGGAGGTGGCGATCTACCTGGAAGGAGGTGGCGATCTACCTGGAAGGAGGTGGCGATCTACCTGGAAGGAGGTGGCGAGCTACCTGGAAAGAGAAGGCGAGCTACCTGGAAGGAGGTGGCGAGCTATCTGGAAGAAGGTGGTGAGTTACCTGGAAGGAGGAAGCAGGCTACGTGGAAGGAGGTGGCAAGCTACCTGGATGGAGGAGGCGAGCTACCTGGAAGGAGGTGGAGAGCTACCTGAAAGGAGAAGGCGAACTACCTGAAAGGAGGAGGCGAGCTACCTAGAAGGGGGTGGCGAGCTACTGGTGGCTTGCGAGTTACAGGTTGGAGACCCCTGCCCTACTCTGTCCGCTCGTTCCCATCCCCGTTGATCTGCACCACACAGTCCTTGTCCAGGGCTTTGGAGTGTGCGGTGCTGAAATGCTGAGCGCTGACTTTGAAGCGTCCGTGAGCGTCCAGGCCCAGCGCTGGCACAAACCTCCGGTCAAACTGCACCTCCTGCCGCAGATAGGACGTCCTCTTCTGGCAGCTGTCCCCACTGGCCTCCTGCGCCCACAGAAACACCACCAGCTCGAAGTGCGCGGTGGACCTCTCACAGAGCACCGGGAACAGAGGGCTCCGGCGCTCCAGGGGGTGGAACCATGTGAGGGGGAAGAGGAACAGGGGGCAGGGCTGGGAGCCGAGCTGGTCCATGTAGAAGTCCACAGAGGTCTGGTGCAAAGCCTGGCCCTCACAGTCCTGGTACAGCACGGCACTGAGCTTCACGTCCACCAGAGGGCGCTGGAGCAGGTTGGTGGCTCGGATCATGAGGCAGGTCTGGCCTTGATGCTGTCCCACCACCGCCTCAGGACTGAACTGGATTGCATTTGCTCGCTTCTGAGGGCGAGCAATTTTGGCGACGAATGCACCTAGGTCGAAATGACATCACATTAATTCATGTTCATCTGAAATAATAACACATCCACAATTTTTTTTTGTACTTTTCAAGAATGAATGTTATATGAATAGTTCATTTGCAAAAAAGAGTTTACCCTTTTCCAGGTAGTAATTTGAGAAGCCAGATCTATTTTAGTGCCCTACAATAAACATTTCGCCCATTCTTGAGCAAATGTGTGTGCAGCAGTGATACAGTCTCAAACACATGACACCTCAAGCTCCGTTATCCTCTGCCTGAAACTAAACAAAGCATTAGTCTTTCACTGACAATTGTCATGAAGCTCAGGAATAGCTCAGAGGATAAACTCACATTTGTCACAGTTTGTCAAACTTAAACTCGACTATGAACATGTGGTAATGCACAATGTGATGTCACATGTGTGTTTGCTTTACCTGTGATGAAGGCCTCCAGCATCAGCCCCAGCAGCATCTGCACCGCCAACAGAGCGATGGCGCTGGGGCAGTCTCCGCTGGGGTACATGGTGCCGTATCCTATGGTCAGCTGCGTCTCCAGAGAGAAGGAGAAAGCAGCAGTGAAACTAGTGATGTACTTCACACACACCACATGTCCCTCTGGAGGGGCCTCATGGTCTGGGACGTCCAGGTCTCCATTGAAATGAGCCAGGAGGTACCAGAGGCAGGCGAACAGCAGCCAGTGGCACAGGAAGGACAGGCAGAATGCCAGCACCACCCACCTCCAGCGCAGCCCCAACATGAGCCCCCACATGTCCTGCAGAGCCAGGAGCCAGCTTCCTTGTCCCAGGGGCCCAGACCCCAGCGAGCAGCGGCCATCTTTACTGACCAGCCGCTGACAGGACGAACGGGACAGCAGCGACTGCTTCCCTCCCAGAACGCCCAGGGAGCACGACTTAGTGGTCATTATGATGCAGGTGCACTGGTTCAGGGGATCCTGCAACCAACACAAACTGCATTAAATTAACATCACACTAAACTTATCAGAGTTCAATCAAACACATGCATGTGTGACTGATGCATCTTGTTATTCCTTTAAATTACCTTCATGAATATACTGCTGTCCTGACAATCAGCCTGAGCAACACACAGAATATGTGAAATCATGTTCCATTGACAGAAGGTGACCCTCTTATTCTTGGACTTGCAGATGTGCCTCAGACTTCTCTGGTTCGGTCGATCCAAACAAGATCCTGGCACCGGAGATTACTGCCATTACAAACTCTTATTTTCAAATCTGATGACTTGGAAAGTGATCTTGAGGCCGGTTTTTATGCTGGTCGTGTGACGGATCTAGAGTAAAAGGCCCCTACAGAGACACATACAGCCTCAGGGCCTGCTCTGTTTTCTGAGACACATCTGGACCAACGACAACAACTCTTCACACACTCTGATTCAGACAGAACATCAGGGCATTTCCACCATCACCTCTCCACGTGTTTCAGAGAGATGAACTATGGAAACTGTTGCCATAGTAATTACAATTTAAAAACAAAATATTACATCTTTCGAATGTGATTTTTCCATTTTTGTGCTGGTCAGGTGTCCATGTATATGATATATGAATGAAAAAATAAAAAAATGACAAGAATAAATAATAGAGACCAGGAGCGTTTTCAGACTCTCCAGATCCTTGGTCAGGCCAGACCTATGCGACCAGCACTGCCCTGTCCCTTCAGTTTGTATTTCTCTGTCAATATTATTTCCAGGAGATTAGAGAGCGTCTCAGCTGGAAACAGGTCTGAGAGCAGCAGTGTCCGAGCAAGAATGTGCCTCTTATTGGGACGCTGCACGGCTCTGGGCCCAAATCTGAACCAATTACCCTGTGCCCCTCTCCTGACCAGCCAGGGATGTGTGGACATTATATGTGCTTTTGTTTTCACATGAGTACAGCTGTAGAACACAGGAACCAGCAGGAGCACAGAGATATAGGGCCTAAAGACAATAATGGCAAGACGTATAGAGTAGACGTTATATCACATGAAATAGGCATGTGATGCAATGTGGCCTGTCTTAGGAGACAACTGGAGCATCTCTGACATGGACACTATGGACTGGGTCTTACTCAGTTTGATCTGGAGTTATCATGAACCCATAGAGGCTTCATTTTAATATCAAAAACCTCTCCAGCATTTACAGACAAAATACATGAACACGTTGTGGATCTATGACCAGGCCTAAGGCTGTTCCCGGTGACATCCTCTCTCTGACAACAGAGGTCTGCTGAAGAGGTCACAGACATTAACTCAGGTTAAATAATCCTTTTGTAAATTATACATTGAGTGTGTTCATGTGTCTGTGGTACTGTAAAACACAGCATAACACATGTTTTGATAAACTCTCACCCGCTTCCCCCCAGAGACTGCTTCAGTTCAGACAGAATACAGACAATACAAAGAGTAAATGGAATTAACTGTAATGTAATTTGAGTTGTTGAAAAGGAGTTTGACTGTGGCAGTAAAAGTGCTGAATGTAGTGGATGGTTCAGACCAGAGTGAGGACAGAGCTCAGACACTGGTCTTTGTGGCTTCGTCACATGAGAGTGGAGCTGGAGATTCACTACAACCAAGCAATACATTCACAACATACTTTTACTCCTGCTGCTGTGAGTGAGGCTCAGGGTGAGAAACAGACCCTGAGTGGTTTTATCAGGAATGATAATAGTATTGTTGAATAGATTATGATATAATATGTCCTCATCTGACTTTTACTTGACACAGTACTATGATTTGGGTAAGATTTTGTATTTGTCAATTTTAAACTATGAAGACAGTACCCATGTACTTCCCCTTGTTTCACTTTTACTGCACCTCTTCAATAATCTGTAGAGTGTTTGGGTCTGAAACAAATTCATTCTTCAGGACAAAAACAAGTATATGAACTCAAATTAAAGATATGACAGTAACCAAATTTTTTACAGTTTTACTAGTTCTCAAAAACTAGGTCTGCCGGAGCTTGGGGCCTATGTCCCTGCCTTAAATGGAGCCTGTCTCTTTAAGGCCCATGTTTTACTAAGAATCTCTGCAGCTGTGGAAAGTTGTCACTTTCACACTTTGACGCAGATGTTTGACACTGCTGCACCACATACAAAAGGCCTAAACGGCTCAAACTGGCTTTATTCTTATAGTGCGTTCAAACCTAACCTCTTTGAATCCCACAACATGCATGTGGAGACTCAGGCTGCACCTGCACAGCACTGACAAATGCACGGAGACAGAACACTTGGCACTTTGTCAAGACGACTAGAATCTAGTGGTTACTTCCAGTTATAATCAACAGTTGATGGAAATGGCTTTTCCCCTTTGTCTAAGAAAGCGTGTGATGTTTAACACTTTGACTGATGTGATAAGATATCGACATTGATAAATGATAATGATAGAATTGAGTGAATCATTCTAGAATTGTGCTACTATCTGCAGTCATTAATCAGCAGTTACAGTATTGATGTTACATTTATAGTATCAGGATGTCTCACTCTGTGGCATGACCCCCACTGTGGGTACTTTGCTCTCATTAGTGCAGAAGCCTTGGAATATATAATAGGTGATGGCCCAACTACATGTACTACTTTACTCTTTTGTCATACAGTATCTGAAAAATCCAATAAAATGTTTAGTCCTGAATAGAAGAACATTTTTAACTTGTCTGAGTTGGATTCCCCGAGTTGGACATTTTTGATTGCACCAATGCACCATAGACCATTAAAACTGACACTTAAGTCTTTTTATTTCAACATGGAACATTACCCCGATTTGCATGGGGGGAATGTTCTGTTCAGTGTATAGTGAGTATTTAAGTAAAAACCACAGGGCGATACAGTGCGTTCCAAGTGCAACCTAAAAGACATACAAGTCTGTTTGTGATCTCCCTTGTCTATAAAGAACCACATCTTCTCCAGTCAGCTCATTACTACCACTGCTACATGGGTTAGGCCTGGTTAAAGTGAAAGACCCCATCCTCACTCATTGTCCCATCCTCGTTCCTATGGAGCATGTACTCACCAAAGTCAACCACGACCTCTTCACCTTCTCGACTTAAAGTGAACCAGCAGCTGCAGAAGTCCTTTGTTGAGAAAGTTTTAAAAATCCAGTGGTGTATATGTGTGGTGTGCAGCCGTGCTCCTGTGCCTGTGTGTCAGTCCCGGCCTGGGGATGATTCACTTGGTCACATTCTCTGCATGAGGCCTATTAGAGCGGAGCAGAGCGCGGGGCTGAGGGAGGGGCCGGCCCGGACACCTTCACCCTCACACAGGCTCTGGTTGTGGGATGGATCCTCATGCTGTCTGTGCAAGGGACACCCCCCCATGAGGAGAGTTACCGATGCATTGACCATAATTACCATTACATTTCTTTCTAATTTTACATATTATGCCCTGTATGTATATAACTTTACTCTATATGTATGTGTTGATATTGAAGCCTTTACAGCTAGCTAACCAACAGCTAGCTATTATATTGTTTATTTTATATGCTCTTACTACTGTCCTATGTGCGTACGCTGAAACATTGAAATTTCTCCACTGGGACGAATAAAGGATCTCTTATCTTATCTTGATTAGGACCCAAGGATTTCTCTTTCGTAACAGTTGAAATAATTGGATGTGAAAAAAGTTTAATCAAAGGTTCAATCACAAGTTTTATGTTTGGAGACGATTTTACTTGATTTTAAAATAAGATAAGTTAAACTTTATATTTATCTGTCTACTGTACAAAGACCATGGTAAGAGGAAGCAAAAACATATATGTTCCAAAATGTAGAAATACTTATAAGATTGATTCCCTCAACACAGAGAAAGTGTTAAAGGAGAAAGGAGAAGCGTCAGAGAGTGTTTGGGCCTGAGACTTGTCTGAGTCTGATATATCTCTCTACATCATGCAATGTTTTTGAACATTTTAGTTTCAAGATTCAAAATAAACTTGAAGATATTTGCTTTGTTAAATGTCATGTCAGCCACACATGACTGCATAATACGATTTTCCAAGACAAATTGTTTTAATACTGTTTCATGTCATCTTTAAATGCTTTTTCATGAGACCAGTGGCAGACAATATGTGTACAAATTATAATTAAATAATACAGAGACAGTCTAATGGCAGCCCTTTCCAATGAGGTCAGTGACAGACAGAATAGACGGATCTGAGGAGCAATGTGGATGTTGTTTTAACCTTGTACATGATTTAAGTAAGCAATTAAAACAATATGTAACTTATGGGGCCAAACAGTTGGAAAAGGTTGGTCCTAATGTTAATGTTTGTTTTTTTATTCTTAAATCAGATTAAAATAAACAACAGTTTGTTGAAGTCAAGTGTAAACTTGCCGTGTCTTTGATTGAATTTTGAAATAATATACTTCTCTTTATTTAACCATTTAAACTAAAACCTGCACTCAAACCTGCATACCCCGCCAACACCATGGATCACCTGAACATTGGAATGGGTCTTCCTCACATCACATCTCTAAAGATGTAGCTTATACACACCCAATTTCAGTTCAATCCGTCCATTGGTTTTTGCACAATCCTGCGCACAGAAAAACAGACACAAACTCATGTGTACTCAGATGATTAAAACACCCTCTGGTTAACACTACAACCTCCAAAGCAGTCAATTTGTCGGCTTCTAGTATGGGAAGTGAAACAACTCGGCTTTTGTACATTTTTTGCCCTAACTTTTTGACTTCTTCTGTATCTATGTCGTTTATTTCTCTGTGAGCAGTTCTACCTTTAACTCTTAACTCCATTTATTTGAAAGTAACATTCTAATGTGGCTATTTTCATTCACTTAGCAACCAACACTTCATGACAGTTAAAGCCCCTCTTCTCTGTGATGCTGGTCCTGGACTAGTTCTGGACTAGTTCTGGACTTGTTCTGGAATGGTCCTGGACTAGTTCTGGACTAGTTCTGGACTTGTTCTGGAATGGTCCTGGACTGGTTCCGGACTGGTTCTGGTCCTTGAGCTTACTTAGCCACAAGAGATGAGCAAGTCGCAGTTACTATAGCAACACACTGTTTTTCTGTCAGCAGTTAGACTTTCACCAAACTGATTTGGCTGTGTTTCAAGTTATATTCACCAGATTTAACACTTAATACTTTAATTTGACTTAGTTTTCGACCAATTGTATTAAAATTAACTCACTTTTTAGAGAATTTTGTTCCAAATTCTATTGATTTGACTGCTCTGGTTGTTCTAGTAGTTTCAGAATTCCGGGAGTCCAAGTATTACCTAATGTCTTCATTGAGTTCTTGCTAATTGTTGGTCAATGCAGACAGTCTAAAGCCAAACACAAAACATCCCAAATAACTAGGGTAGGACATGCAAATAAATCACCTATGTCACTTGAAAGAATTAGTCTGATCCAAATAGTCCTGACCACTCCTCCAGTAGACTTTGTGATATCTTCTGATTTGGTGCTGTTGTTAAACACATTGAGTTGTTTGTATTTGTTTGAACTGTGTAATTAATGTGATTAGTGTGTAATTAAGTCATTAATGTAATTTTTAACACAAGCAAAAAGAGTTCAGCAGAATAGCAGCACACTGCCCTCTGTTGATCAAGGTGGGGAAAGTAGGAATAAAAATATTACTCAAAACAAAATAAAGATGAATATTGAATACAATTAACAGCAGTAGAGCTAATAAAATAAAATAAAACCATTTGATTTAATAAATCTTGTATTACAATTTAATTGCCTCAATTGTTTGGTTTATTTCTATGGAGATTTAAAAGCTGAGTGTAAGGATTGGCAGCGCTTGTTTTACACAGAGCTGTTTCCATATGGCACGGCACTGCACTGAACCTAATTCATACAGTATATTACTCCTGTGTGAGATCAATAAAGTATATCTTATCTTATACTGCAATTATAAAAACTTCTTAATAATGTTTTCACTATGAATATAATCGTTTGTAATATACATAATTATGTAATATGTTGTTAAGAATGTTGTGGTAATAGATTAATAGTTTCTAGATTATTGAAGGTATTAGATTAATTAAATCGAAAACGAGAAAATAAGTAAAATCTTCAAACTGAAATATCTTAGCTTAATTTAAGTTCAAAATGTTTTACTACAAATCTATACAAGAAAAAAGTGCATCGTAAATAATATATAGTATATATGAAGAATCCACTATACTTTCTTCGTAATGCAATAGTTATATTACTCTGAGAAAGTGAGAAAGTGATGTATTTTTTGTCAGTAACTGTATTCAACGTTATCTATACGATCTTATGTATTTGTTCTAAAACGTATATTGTCAAAGAATGTAGGATGTATGTGTATAATAACGATAACAACAAAACTATTAAAATGATGAAGTCACCCGCAGCACACGAGCGTCACCGGAAGTCGCCTCTGCCATGTTTAGCTGCTTTGTTTTAGGTCCTTGTTGGTTTCCTGCAGATATTAGCCTTTAACTCTCGCAATGGAGCCCAGCTGGAGTACATTTCTATTTCAAGTAAGTCTAACACAGGCTCAGAATTCAGATCCATCGCTGAGCTTGTTGCGTAGCGTCTAATTCGACATCTGAATGTTTTATTTCACTTTCTGGAGTGCTGCGCTTAGCCGAGCAAAACAATGGTGTTAGCATTAGCTTGCAGGTTAGCTCTGTGCAAAGCTTGTTTTTAAATGGCTTTTGGTGAATGTTTACGCGCAGAAAGAAGCGATCGCAAGTGGCACGTATGCAATATGATATGTGTGGATAACGCACCAAAGCGTAACATCATTAGATTGACGCAAAGTAGGTTTTCACTGTTATTAATTTCAAGCGCGCGTTAGCCATTTTGTAGCTACAGGCTAATGCTAACGTTATGACTGCAGAATTAGTTGCATGATTAAAAGCTGCCAAAATATCTGTTTAGTTAATCAGCATTTCACCAGATGTTGTTATACATCACGGATTCATCGTCACCCATATTTACTGTGCAATGTAATGAACAAATTTGTGGCATTAGAAAGATTACTTAAAACTTGTCTAGGCTAAGAAGTTCGGGGAAATAGCTCAGATGCTAACAGCGGAGAGAGTCTCACACGCGGACTGCAGCCTCAGAATCAGAATCAGAATCAGAATCATTTTTATTGCCAACGTAAGTAACGGGAGGTCACAGACTAGGAAATTGCTTTGGCTCAGTGCAACAGTCAAAAAGAGATAATAAAAATAAGAATAAAAAACACTTCTAAAGAATAAATTTAAATTTAAAATAGAGTTACAGTTACTATTTACAATATACAAGTGCACATGGTGCATAAGGGCATAGATTTACCCAGACCATTTTAGCTTATATATTGGTTATTTGTTATAATTCTAAACTAGCCAAACGTGAGGCGAGCCACTCTGAACCATGGATCTATTATAATAACGCTCTGAACGTAGTAAAGTTGTAGATGTTTGTAAGCTTTTCACTCTTTTGCCTGAATGGGCTCAAAGAAAGTTTCAGTAATCCGAAGTGTAAACAAGGATGCGCTGAAATGTCATCCATGCATCCATTGTTGCCTAAATACTGGAATATATCGTTCTTGTTTTTTGTCTTCAAATAATGTTTCTCAGTCTTTTTTGATTTGTCTTTTTTAAAATAATGTATGTGACACACTCTATACCACTTTATTTTCTCTATTACTTTTTTATGCGACTGCTAAGACTTTTACTATAGCCTAGTGTGATTTGACGTTGTCGTGTTTGTATTAATGGTATGAATAAAACAAAAAGTGCACTTTCTTTGACTGATTTGAACGACTCCACTGAACGCTGTTGCATGTTTTTCCCTTCTCTCTAATTGTTGCAGACGTCCATTATTCAGCATGAGTGGTTCTGTTCAGTCACTGTTATTGTGTGGTCTGCTGGAAGTGGATTGTAAGAATTAAAAGCTCTAATTTGTGATTTTGTTCATAGCCACAGTCTTGCAGAAGTTGTGGGACTTGGCTCATGTGCTGCTTATGTATGTTGTAGATGCTGTTGGTATAGCTGTAGCTACACCTGAAATAGAATCGTCGTATCTGTCATAGTTGCTATAAAGGAAATGCTCTGATTGTGTCTGAAATATTTTTGTAAGGTTTTTGCAGCCTGGAAATTGCTCACCCTTTTGGAAAATTGACCTGTTTTACTGGTGTAAGAGAACCATCATTCACCCCACACCAGGGTATTTTTAGTGTTGCAATAAAAACAGTGAGCAGAACTCAAACAAGATAATTACTATTATGTATTCTAAATATATAGTTTTGTGTACATCTTTTTATCCTTTAGACTAGATACTGCACAACTTATCAATGCAGAAGTTTAGTAATGCTCCTGGCAAACGGTGTATCTGCATCAAGTACACAGCAATGAATATGTTCACTAAAATGGATGGGAACAATGGCAATTCTCTAATTCCGATTTTTGTTTAGTTTTCCATTTTAAGATTTACAAACATTTAAAAGGGTACTGTGATTGATTAAACTGAGTAGATCAAATGGCAGTATTGGTGGGAACTTTCACTGGTCAACAACGTGGTTTCATTTGATTCACAAAGAGTACAGTTGAACTTGAAATGTTGTAAGTGTTTTGGATTTGCACATGGAGCAGGTGTTTAGCAGAAGGGAACATAAACTGAGACAATAGTGCATTGAATGTCCTTAAATCTGGGGACAATGACCCAGAGAAAACGTATGAGTCGTAAATAAAGAGTGAGCTGCGGCAGCAGAGGATAAAACGGCACATCTTTAGTCTGCAGCTGCCGCCGCCATTGTCCCTTTGGTCACGGCTCGGCCCCACTGGGGCACAGGCACAGGGATTATGAATATTTCAACTGGACACAGCGCACTGATTTGAGATTTGAAAGATTTTATATTTGTAGTTACATTTTGACAAGTTTTTCAAATATTGTTCTGATTTTTATTACAAAATCATAGTTTGGTGCAAATTGAATCACTTCATTCTTATTTATACTTTCCCAGAAAAAGCTTGTTTGATGCAAGTGTTGAGTGGTTATAAAGTTACACAAATATCTTGTCACAAGATTTTAATGATACACAATACACATTACATTTATTTTTTATAAATATTAGAAATGATATTGGCAATTTACATTCACCAATCATTAGTCTTTGTGGTTTTCATTGAACCTCTTGCTCTTCTCAAAATGAATAAAAAATATGGATGCAATATTATAACACTTGTATACCAAACATCTTCTCTCGTCTTTCCTGTTGCTCCTCTGTGACCTACACCACATTTGTCTTCATACTCCTTTAGCTCAGTCTATAAGACACTGATTGCCAGTGGCTGGAGGTGAGTGGAGCTTGTGACTGCACATATTTGCTTATTTTGTTTCATGTCTCGCTTGTAGGTTTGTGTTGCCGCCTGCTCCAAGTCCAACTCATGACAAATCTCTCATGTGGAGACGAACTGAACTGTACATAACTTACTCTGCTTCCAGTGACAAATTCCATGTACTGACTATTGTCGTCATTGGAGATTGATGTCACAATATGTAATTATCAAGTTATTGTGAACAATTATGCTAATCTCAAGATATAAAAACAAATTGTACAAATGACTGTGAAATCCATTGAAGATACCCAAAATACATCAACAATCGTTATCTGGTCACACACACTTTCTAGATACTGACTATGTTCTGTTAATTTGAATCTGCATTGGCTGTACTTTTTGGTTAAAAATAATTCTATTAGAAAAGAGATTTCTATGAAATAAATGATTCAATGCAATTAACCATATTAAAAGGTACTTCAACTATTTGCTTCACTTTTATATCACACTTGTTATTTTGAAAGCTGGCTAGTTCTAGGCAAGGAATTTATAATAAGAAATTCAGGGCACAGAAAGAACATTGGGATTTTTTTTTTTAATAATATAGGCATAAAAATGATAAGATTACTAGAAAAGAATCTCTATTTTTACAGTCTAAGGGCCCCAAAGCGCTTTACAATGTTCAGATATTAGTTCTAACACCATACCCTTGTTTTGTCTCTTGCAGCAGGCAAATGAGGCCCTCCATCACCAGCACCCAGTGTCTGCCAACAGCCTGCTCCCTCTGCTCAACTCCGGAAACGACCCTCCAGACCAGAAACCGGTCCTACCCATCCCCCTGGACCAGAAGCCTCCGGTCAGCGCGGCCGAGCTCCTCAAAGACAATGTGGCCAGCGGAACGGGCATGAACTCTGTGGCACCCGGGGGTCCTCCGGTGGTTATCAAAAAGGAGCCCAAGTCCAAAACTCCCTTCGTCTGCGGCCTCTGCCACAAGGCGTTTCGAGACAGCTACCATCTGCGGAGACACGAGTCCAGCCACACAGGGATCAAGATGGTCTCCAGGCCCAAGAAAACACAGAGCGCGCCCACCATGGTGCCGCTAATATCCACCGTCCCTCGAGAAAATGATGCCAACCAGTCCTACATCACCACAGTGGCAGGTACAAGGATCTTCAGCTCAAATACTGTTACTATAGTCTGTCTAAAAAAATTCTATTAAATCATAACAAATGAATAGAATACTTTAAACTAGCTATCAATATTTTTCAAATGCTTGTGTTGTTTGTGTTGTCGGTGTATGTCACCTTTTAGATCAACTTTTTCCTGTGTAAAAGAGGGTACTAGTCCTCACTAAGCCTCAATCAATTGCTAAACATGAAACATTATGGTAATGCAACAAAATACCACAACAATCCAGCAACTACAGTAATACATTCCATGAAAAAAGAACCATAGTTGGATGAAGAAAAAAAAAATCTTATTAACTCCTACCCTATTCTTGTATAAAGAAATTGTTGGTTCCTAACTGTCACCAACAATGTGAAAAAGTAAAAGATAACATGTTTCTAATGAGATAAAGAATGCAGTCTTTATCAGCACTCAGCAGTCTGATTTCTTTGCAAAAGGTGATTAAAAATACTTTCTTTTGGATTAAACATGTGTTTATGGAATAAAGTTAAGTACTCCCACCGTAATGACTAGGAAAGTCACTATAATATTGTGTTGTCACCATATAAAAATCTCAAACTTTATTGAAATGAACAAGTTACATTTTACATTTGTAGCTGAGCACTAGAAACTTCCGTAATTAAATAATGTACTAAATAATGTACTAGTTTTATATTAGGCTCTGGAATATTCCGAGCTATTCTATGCTGTAATGGCATCTGTGATGTTTTTTGCTGTAATTTTAAACCCTGTCTAATGATTATTTGTCATTGTCTAAGGACATCTCCTGTCCGCCTCGCCTATAGGTATCATGACGACGGCCACCACCTCCACTGGCACCGGCACCAGCGTCATGTCCCCAATGCACCACCAGCAGCATCATCACCAGCATCAGCAGCATCAGCAGCAACAGCAGCAACAGCAGCAGCAGCAACAACAACAACAACAGCAGCAACAACAGCAACAACAACAACAACAACAGCAGCAGCAGCAGCAGCAGCAGCAGCAGCAACAACAGCAGCAGAACATCCCCAAGAAAACCCCCAAACCTGTGAAGAAGAACCACGGCTGTGACATGTGTGGGAAGGCCTTCAGGGACGTGTATCACCTGAACCGCCACAAGCTGTCCCACTCCGACGAGAAGCCTTTCGAGTGCCCCATCTGCCAGCAGCGCTTCAAGAGGAAAGACCGCATGACCTACCACGTCCGCTCCCACGATGGAGGCGTGCACAAGCCCTACATCTGCTCCGTCTGCGGCAAGGGATTCTCCAGGTGAGTGTTCGAGAAAGCAGTACTATCCATTTTAATGTTGCCCCTGGAGACAATTTCTAATAACGATGATAGCTATAGCGCGTTTTTGGACACTCAAAGATGCTTCAAATGTTGTTATTCATTCACTCTGTAAGCGGTAGTGATAAACTATTCCCGTAGCCACAGCTGCCCTGGAGCACACTGACAGAATCTTCAACCAATATGTGCCATATGACCTCCACCAACCATTCACACACACCAGACTCATTCTAGGCAATGTGGGTGAAGTGTTTTGCCGAAGGACTCTGACAATTTGGCACTTTACACCTGCAGCTGCCCCACTATGGCACCTGGTGTTCCCAAAAGTCTCCCTTCCCACAATTATTCAGGCCCTGCCCTGCTTATCTTCAGAGGTCTTAAAATTACACCATGTCCTGACTCGATATCACTTGATTTACTTGTAGCTGTAAAAAATATGTTGCTATAGTCGCTGCACACTTTGGTCCACTCTAGTTTACTTGCTGTGAATTTTTGAAGTCTCTCGTTCAAATGAATGGAGCTGCGCCGACTGACGCATGCGCAGATGCGTTTTTTCACAATTTTCTTGTGGACGGGACCACTCGCTGCCATTTTGGATAGCTCCAGTAGAGCACATTTTTTGGCCCATTTGTTTGAACGACGGAGATAGGCGTGACTACGTCCATTATTTTTTACAGTCTATGGTCGCGCTCCTCCGTGTCACGCAGCCCAAAGTATCCAAATACGCGGCTCCAGTCAAATCACATGGGAACATGTTTGTGCTGCTGGTCCTTGTCATTAGACACTTTTAAACTTTAGCGAGACCTGCGAGATGCGGCTTGTCACTCGCTCCTCTGACCATGTGGACGAGCCGTTGTTTGCTGCTAAAAAGTGTTAACCCGTAGCACAGAAGTATAGAAAGATTAAAAAAAGCGGTTCTTTGTGCGTAAAGGTGCCGAAGCTGTTGGGGGTTTTGGCGCCGCTGTCTCGGCTCTGATCCAGTAGAACGCAGAGGTGCACTTATGAGAAGTACGCGGCTCGAAAGGGCTGTTATTTCAAAGAACGTGGAATATTTTTAAGTTCGCGGCTAACCGGTTTCAACAGTTTTTTTTTGTTCCATAAAGCATCTTTAATCTTTGTTGTGTTCCTGTAACAGACCAGATCACCTCAGCTGTCACGTAAAACACGTCCACTCGTCAGAGCGGCCGTTCAAGTGCCAAGTAACGGTGAGAGACTATGTTAGACCTTCTTTCAGCCATCAGATCTGTTTCCCATTTACAAACTACTCACTATAACACCGCATCTTTTCACAATGGTGTTTCTCCCGTCTCCCAGGCCTGCACGTCCGCCTTCGCTACCAAAGACCGGCTACGCTCCCACATGATCCGGCACGAGGGGAAGGTCACCTGTAACGTGTGCGGGAAAATGCTGAGCGCGGCTTACATCACCAGTCACCTCAAGACCCATGGACAGGCCAACTTCACCAATAGCAGCCAACAGTGTAATAATAAAGGTGAGGACCGTGGCTCTGCTTTTTCTTGGGGGATGCGCAAGGGTTGACCCGAAGGCCACGCAAAGCTGGCTGTTAGTGTCAGGGATGGGACAAGACCAGACGGCGTTCTTAGAAATAAATGATGCAAGGTCCACAGATAAAATTACTGTCCTCTGAGAACTGCTTTTTAAACAAGTTTCTCAAGAAGTGGCACTAAGCAATGCCTCAGCAATTGTAATGACATTGGGGATAACAAAAAAAGCAGTCCCACTTTTATTTTCAGTTTTCATTATTTCGTGGAATCTTGTCCCATCTCTCGGCGTTAACCCCGCTGATCAGCCGGCTGACGCAGACACGAAACACCGGGGGTAAAGTCTGCAACCTGCTGTGACTTTGACAATTTGGGTGTACGTCCGAGAATACAATATAAAACTTCCACTTCAGTGTGTTTCACTTCTTTCACACAAATGACTGAAGCCAAACAAATGTTGCGTGAAGAATTCCCAGACACACCAAGCAATTGCCGCCTCTGAAAGACTTGCTTTAGACTGCCTGCCCATAGCAATACAAGTAGTAGTAGTCCTAGTAGTAGTGGTACTAGCAGTAGTAGTAGCAGTAGTAGTAGTACTTGGTCGCCGTCTCCCATCTGCTTCTCTGTGTAACGCCTGTGTCTGTATCTCTGAATAGGCCAAAGTGACTGGCAGTGGAACCACTCAGGGCCACGAAAAGGTAACACCGTAGCGAGTAGAAACGACTCATGATCAACAAAGTGGCCAATTTTTTGCTTTCTCTTTGTCTGTTGTCGTTGCACCTTTTTTCAACGTTGAGATTTCAGCACTTGGTAGTTCATGCATTAACAGGAGGATGTGTTTTCTATATAAAGGCTAAATGTCAGAAAGCAGGATCAGTAGGACCTCTGGCTCGATGCACAATGCACTTAATCCTCAGCCTAAAACACAGATTATATCTCCAAAATTACCTGAATACTTCTTTTATTGCACTTTAATATCTAAAAAGAACCAGCATCAATTAGTTATATTGTTTTGTTCAAATTTTTTTTCCCATACCGGTTGGTTCCAAAGTGCCCTAGGTTAGCTTCGAAACAAGGCTGCTAAACCAGTCTATCCAACAACACAATGATTTTGGATAACAAAAGGAGCAGCTCTGATCGAAACATGTGTTGTGTGCATCTAGACTCGGGTGTACGTAAAAATATCTTGGTCTAATTTGTTTTTAAAGTAGAGTTTTAGTAAAGCACTGTAGCCGAGAGAGTCCACTGATCCTGCTTTTTGAATTTACCCCTCAGGTGAGTTGACGGTAGGAGAAGTTTTAAATAACTCCTTCCAACTCCTAATTGACAACTCTCAAAAAGGTAGGTTCCCCAACACTACAGCACCGCTAGCTTGCATTAGGGATGGGACGCATCAAATTCTCAAATTCTGTGACCGACGTTATCACAGTATGACGGTGTAAAAGAGTTGAATACTTCCTCATCTTTTAACAAACAATGTGCTTGTGCTGCTCTTCATCCACCTCATCCACTGTGCAAATATTTGAACTATAGACCTAAGTTTAGTTGAATTGTTTGTCAGCCGAGGAGTTTTAAACTTATTTCTGCAGACAAATGGCTCAATTTTGGAACTGGTGAGATATTGCAAAGCGGTCTTATCCTAGAAAACTCTTTTCTATAGGACTGTTTTAATTAAAAAGCCAGAGAAAAGTAAGCAATAATTTGTCATAGAACTTTCTTTATCAATGCTAAGCAAACATCATATTGTTAAGCAAACAAAATGTCTCTTATTGTAAAATATTATTGAACCTCAAATATGTTGTTCAAGGTATTATTTATTTAACAACAATGCAATGGAATCATTTTATGTTGAATGATGTTTTATTTGAATGCAAGGAGCATTTATTTGTGTAGCACAGTTCATACACAAAGTAATTCAAAGTGCTTAGCAAAAAATGATAGAAAAAAATCATGAGTGAAGATTCAATCCTTCAGTTGTGTGCACAGCTAAACAGAACTGTTTTCATCCTGGTTTTGAGAGAGTAGACGGCTGTCTCACATTTTCAAGATTTTCATATTATTGCACAAATCTGAAACTGTCTTGGTGTGCATTCTCGCTTGTCAGGAAAGCAGCTTCACCCACTAACGCAATGTAAAAGGAGAACTATTATTGTTCTTAATATTCAAAATCAACTTTGAGATTTTATCCACGTTAGAACATTCTTCCCTGAGTCACAGACCCAGAGCTGTTTTTAGATCAATCCATGCTAATATGAGGCACTCACATTTAACTCTACCCCTTTTGTCTAAAAGCCCCTGTCTCAGTCCTGTAATAGTATGTCATTGATATATGACATCACACTCAAAAACTTGTCTACCTTTTTTGGCTTTAAATCAGTTTTGCGAATTTCTCAAGTGAAAAAAAAATATATATAACTCTCCCTCTGCTGGTAGCGTAGTGGTAGTACATGCTGCCCTTTTTACCCTTGATCTTTAGTTTCACCATCTATTTTCTACTGAAGATATATTTTCACAATAAAGAACATGAGATGACAAAGTAAATGGCTTTTCAATGGCCATAAATGTTTAATATTTCTTCTTTAATACAATCAGAAAGGCCATCCCTCCATATTCTCCATATTTCATGCTGTCCTGGCTTCGTCCCATCACATACAGACTATCGTCCCATCCCTAGCTCGGAGCTCTATAAATGACCCAATATCCCAACTTTTTAATTCAAAATGCATCTACCTTTCCCTCCCTGCAGATGCCAACAACGTCCACAACAACTCGGCCAGCACCACGCCCGTCACCAACTCGGCTGCCATCACCTCGGCCACCGTCAACCGGACCCTCAACAACCCCGTTACTATAGCTGCGCAGATGAACATAACCACGAATACGGTCAACATCACGGCCCCGATGAACCTGCAGCACCCCTCCGGCGTCACCATCACCGGCCCAGTCAACCTGGCGTCGGTCAACATCCCCACCTCGGCGCACATGAACCTGGCGCACCCGGTCGCCATCACGACGCCTATGCCAATGAATATCACCGGCCCACTTAATATAGCAATGCGCTCCATGGAGAGTATGCCCTTCCTGTCCCAAGTCCTGCCCTCCTCCCCGCCCTGGTAAAGAGGGGAGCGGTGGGCCCGGTGCTGGCTAAAATTGTCCTTTCTTATAAGTGGGGTTCGAAAGTGAGACGAAATTCACAAAGTGAAGCAGATTTGAATGTTTGCCATGAAAAGGCCTTGTTCCCGATTTTTCATCTTTTACCAAATGTACGTTTCTGCAGAATATACAGTATTAGAGCTGGGTTGAAAGATCTAGGGACAAAAATAAGTTTTATAGATAGCGACTATTGACCAAATATTATGAGAGGAGGGAAATGAACTAATTTTGATGAAAACACTGGGTGGGCATGAGTTTTGTACCTCTCACTCATGGGTCCTCATCTTTCACTGTGATTAGATTAAACAGTCCGTCTTCTTCCCCTTAATTCATTTCTGGGTCAGGGGGTGGCAGTCAGAGCTCCACCCAGTACACAGAGCACCAGCCCCTCACTGATCCTCCTGCAGATGGTGAGTCCACAGGAGCCTTGATCTTCCAGCGGGGGCTCCAGGAAAAGTGGGGTTAAGTGTCTTGCCCAAGGACACAACGACAGCAGACATCAGGGATTAAATAGTATGTACAGTTAAGTTTGGTGATTGAAAATATTGTTTTTGTCATATCGGTTTTTTGTTTTTAATTTAAGTCATTGAAAACATCGACTCTGAAATCGAGATTAGTCAATATATGGGGAAAAATTATGTATGTTCCCAGATTGCCCTGCTCTATACTGTATGTTGTAAAAGTAGCCTTTGTCAAAATGATATCAGTGTCTTTATCATATGGGTTTCTCTCCCAAAACCGGGACGAAAGCTCCAAATATGCTAGCATGTTGTTAGCTTACTGTGAGCGCAAAACGTACTGCTTTGCAACTCATCCTGGCTGAAAACTAGACAAAAATACAAGGATTCCAATACTGCATTTTTGGGCTTTTTTTTAGATTGCAAAAATCGGGTGCAGGGCCTGTTTGAACGTGGACGGTTGACCTTTTTGAAGTTGAAGCAATGATGCACTGGATTCATCGAGCACTTTTACGGACGCTTTCCATTGCATTACCTTCAGTCACGGCTCTCTCGTCCGCTGGCATGGTGAGTGAAGTGTCTTGCCCAAGGACTCGATGACAAGAGACGAAAATGGGTTTAAAACAATAGCTTTTTAGTCCATAATAGAGGCAAATATCTTCTTCCTACCTGGTTGTAAGGATTTAAGTAGGCCACTTTTTCTCCCAACTTGAAGGACAATTTTACTTTGCATTGAACCCACTGGACAGCCTTTAGTCTCTTTATAGTCACCTCCATTTCTCATTGATTCAGAAGTTTGAATAGATTTGTATTACTACTACTACTACTATTACTACGCATAGCTGAGAAAGAGCCAGGTCGGTTTTCCTTTTAGTGCCCTTTCTCCTAATCTAGTTAATTTTAGCTTTTGAATGGCAGTCCGCTGACTTCAAAACATAGGCATTGCTAACAAAATCTGATGAAATGTGTCGCTGGAGTCTTACGAATCTGTTCTCGTCACAGGTTTTTCTTAAGATTTTCCTTTTTTTGTATTATTTTAGTGAACTTTATCAGTATTTAATAGTTTGTATTTTGTAAGGAAAAAACAAAAAAACAAAAACGAAGCTTCCATTGTGGGGAAGGGGAGTGATTTAGTTAATATCATTTCACTTCGGCTTCGGTTCAATAGCGATTTCTAGGTTTAGTTTGCTTTGAACTCAATGCTTCCCTTACTGTATTATTTTGTTAGAATTCAGTCGGTCGTCACTACTGCTCATCCGCAAATGTATTTACATTTCTTTTATATAATGATGTAGTTTTTATTTTTCAAATGTAAATCAGGACAAATGTTTGAAAGTAGAGACATAGGCAGTAGATTATAATGAACCACAGAGATGGTAGAAAAAAAGTTCTTAAAGGGGACATAACATGCAAAAAGAACTTTCCCTTAGCTTTGGATCTTGTTAATAATAGTAATGATTTTCACTCTAAAAGTTTTTTTTCTATGTTATTTTAAACCGGTGTCCTTCGCAAATGTTTTTACTCTATTTGCTAATTTTGCCTTGTCTGACCCTGTGATATGCCGACATCAGGGCAGCATTGCACAGGCCTTTTTAGCTCAACGGAAAACAGCTGCTGATCGCCAACATCATCTGTGGTGTGTAGATGGCGATTAGCCGCTGCAAACTCTGACCACTTTTCTACTGCTATAGCATAAAGAGGCAGAGAGCAGAGCGGTGCGCCAAGTCCGAACGCATTTTTCTTCAATTGTTTTTAAACCAATATCAAGCATGTTATGTCTTCTTCAACCAACTGGATTTTACCCTTTTCTGAGCTCCTTGTTTAAAATTCTGCCATTTGCGACGTCTACGCGGCGTCGTTTCGGCAAGACATGTGTAGCCTATTAGAGGCAGTACGGCGTAGGAAATGCCCAAAGTGTGGAAAAGCGATTTGACAGTTTAAAAATCTTAAAATCTGGTGCCAACCCTCAGAATCCAGACCCAAGCGATTCGAGGTATATCCAAGCAACTTCCAAATTGCCGTTCATTTATTTCTATTGCCTATGGTGAGAAGCCTACTCTGTGGGAGGGCGCGCTATCCTGCTCCAGTGGATATGAACTCGTATTGTTTTGTTTTAAAAGTCAAAAAGATTTACTGTAACATTGTATCACTGTGGGTCAAACTCAGGAACATTAACTGAGAACCGCCTTTTTTTTGTTTTTAGTTTTACAAATCCAAACACTATATTCAAATCTTATCGCTACAAAACTCCACGTGATGAAGAGTGTACTAATGACTTATAAGTTATATTTAACTTACCGTCCATTGACAAGCTGCTTTTTCCAAACAAAGCTGGAAAAACACCATGCAACTTCACAGATGTACCTTGGAAAAACAATCGCTCCGTCATATCAAAAATATTCTGGTTTACTCATTTTGCTTTTATGAATCACGTTTTAACATGAAATAAAATGGAAACTAGGCAATAGCCATGTGTGTATGTCGTTTGCATGGCCCAAAACTTATAAAAACTGTTGCATTGGAGTTGTATGGTGCGACATTTTGCGTCTTTAAAATGCTATAATTTCAGCTATTTCCCAATCAAGCTTTTGTACTGAAGCACTCGCAGCTAACTTAATGTGCACACTACATGCTAGCGGTACTGAAAGGGTGTTTTTGATTTGGCACAGATGGCGTTACGTGTTTTTATTGTTGTTATTCTATATTGTTTTGGAACATTTCAGTCAAATTCTTCTGTGCCTCTCGCTGACATTCGAATGCATGCCGGCAGTGTCCTGTAAGGGGAGTAGTAGCTCTAAAGCAAAAATGGCATTAACGCGATTTTAAAACTGAGCGTTGCATGTTGAATGATGATCGTAGAATGCTATAGTGACATTAAAAGCGAAAACACTAAAAATAGGTCAAAAATGGGCAAATACGGGGATCACGGTGGATGCTAAAGGGTGTGAAATGAGATTATACATGAGGAAAATGTCACCAAATATTGAGTCCTAAGTTTCCTGCCTTTTTTCTTCTTTTTATGTACATTTCTGTTGCTGCTATGTTCTCTCAGTAGTTAAAGATGCACAATTTAACCTGAGGCTCTGGCAGTAAGCTTGTTTCTTGTATCAGTTCATTTCCGTTGCCTTGAATATAACATGCATGTCTTCTCAAATCGTTGTCCTGGTATTGTCACAGAGTGCAGTATAATTTAGAAAGTCAAGTTTAAAATACGTAAAACAAAAACGGTTAGATGTCATGGCTGGATTTAGCAACAGCAATTTCCACTCCAACACTGATCCAATGTCTATTTTATATGATTGTTGAAATATGCAACACTTATTGCCCCCATCTGATCTTCAAACATGGAGCAGAATAGTTTTCAAGATGATTGAAAAGGTCAATTGTTAATAATCATAATCACTTTTCTTTAGTTTAAGATGTGAGATCATAGTTTGACTTACTCGGGCTTAAGGGAATAACTTTTTAAAATAAGCATTTTTAGAATATATAGTACATAAGTATGACAGAACAACATGTATACAACATTGAAACTTCATTAAAAAAATGTTTTGAGTTAACAATTGTACTTGGACATAATTGAGATATCTGACTTGGTATTGAGGGTTTTTTTTTTAAATCAGAATTGGTTTGTAATTTAGTATCAGGAGAACACTAGTCCGAACTATGGCATGGAGGTCAAATTGCAGGCAGAGGAACTAGCCAAAATGACCATAAGTGGATTTTCGGCCCAATTTTTTCTCTCGCAGACTATATAACATTGTATATCTTTTGAAGTTTTTAGCCTACATAAAAGTTTAGCGTCTCAGATCAGCTTGGGGGGTAAATAAGTAATCATGTATTTATTAACCTCTTTATATCCATCCATCTCTTCTATCTCTGTTACAACATACGGCCCTCTGTGACATGAGTTTTGATCGCCCCTGGTCTACAAACGTCACAATATTTCTAAGTATTTCATATCAGACAATTTGCGAGTAAAATTGCTCTATTACTCTACATTTGGTGTCCTCGTTCCCCCTTGATCCACTCCTCCTCGGTTCAAGGCCCTTTTCCACTTTTAACTGTGTGCCTGATAGAAAAGAAATGCTTCTTGGTTGAGCGCTGTGAGGGAATCGTTTGTAAACACAGCCTTCATCACCAACTCTTTATTTTTAAAAATGTTATAATTACGGATATCCGCCTTGAATGAATGAACTTTTATTTTTGTATCTTTGACTGTAACATCCACCATGTTTATTATTTTCCAAGTCTAATGTGAAAAACATGCATTTATTTGGCCAAATAATTTGACTTTTATTTTCTGTGAAGTTTTTACCATAGATTTGGCAGAAACGTGAAGGCAGATGAATGTAATATCTTTGTACAAACTGTTAGAGGACGTTAGGTATGACACAGGAGAAATAAGTAACCTTTTATACATCTTTTTGTATTAGAACATTATCAATGGTAATTTTGTATATACGGAGGTTAGGCTTTCTGAGTAGCAGAAAGGTTAAACATTCC